ATTCCATTCAGCCCATCAGTGAAAAGACACTGGAACTCGTTGGTCTTCAGCCTCATGGTGAACAGACTCCTCCATACACTTCTACTAATAACAGCAGGTCTAACTAATCTGCTCCACATCTACACACACACAGAGAACAGAAAAGGTCAGGTACTTCTGTTTGAGTCCGTCTGCTGTAACGGAGGAGCTAGCTGGCTAACACGTCACTGGACAACTGTTAACTGCGGTAAACAACGGTCTCCTGATAGTCAGTACATCAACGCTTTATCGAAGAAAATAACAAACAGAAACACTTTACAACTTTAAGGGACACTTTATGAGCAAACAACATAGTTTCACCGAAAATTATCCTTGTGTCATCTCGACTCCCCAGGAAGCGATGCCAGAAGAGTTTTACAAAACGTGCGCTCTTTGACCAATGGCTTGGGATTTCGTCAGCAACGTAAGGCGGGGTTTAAAATGTCTCTCGCGAGATTCTCATCTTTAAAGTTCCAGGCGCTGCCGCTGTCACAGAAATAAGCTCCAGAATGTCGCCGCTCAGACATTGGAGTGACTTCTTTCCCGACTGGAAACTTAAACGACAGATTAATCAGCAATCTGCTTTATTATCAGACAAATTATCTGGTACTAAGTACTGTTGTTTTCGTCATTGCAGGGTTTTGTCATACTGCTGTTGCAAAGCAGGATTTAACTTTTATGAGTTTTATGAGTAACATTTAGAAACATTTAGAGAGAGGAAGCCAAAAGGAGCCAGACACATTTGTTTAAAAATGTATAATACAGGTTTAACGTTACATTATTGATACTAACATCAATTTGTGACAATCAATAAATACAAACATGATATTAGAAAATTATTTTATTTTTACAGCTAGTTTTGATGCTTGAAGTACAACAGAGAAACCAACTGGACTGGAAAGACAGATTGTTTAGTTCTGAGGAAATCCTTCTGCTTGAAGTCTGTTATATATAAAAGGCCAACACAGAAAAGTAGTGTAGAACTGTGGTCTTCAAATCTTTTGTGCAAATAAAAATATGTAGAGTGTAAAGTGCATACAAAGGGTATCTAAAATATATATGCCACTGTTTAAATTCCAAAGGGTTTTTTTTTATTTAAAGTCTTGAGGCCACAGTTAATGCACATTACAAAGAAAAAATAAATTGAGATTATTATTCCAAATTGGTTAAAAAAAAAACTAGTTTACTTAAGGAAACTGACCCCGATTGCATTCAGTCACTGACTTTGCAGCAATCACTCCTACTGAGCGAGCACCTAGCGACAGTGGACAGCCGATTAAATAGTGTCGTTATCTTTGCAGCCATCCCTCATACTGAACAAGCATGCGGCCATTCTCATGGCATGCAAGGATTAAATATTTGCTCCATATAAAGGCCAGACTAAAGTTTGCATGAGAGAACATAAACAATGAACAGGACTTCTACAACGACATCTTTGTACAAATGAGTCTGATATTAAATTATTTGGACACCAGAAAAAAAAAGAACTCTATTGGCATGAACCAAACAAATACCTCTTATCAACTGTGAAACATGGAGGTTGAAGTGTCATGGGGATAGCAGGACCTGACCAGAAACAGGATGTACATGCAAGAAACCTCTCAAACATTTCTCACCTGAAAATGAGGGGGTGGGAAGAATCTTCTCTGGATTGATGTCAGAGACTCGTAATGGCTGCAAGAAGCTTCTCACTGAAGTTACTTCAATCAAAATGCTGTAACTGTAGCTATGAGGGGTAGGGGGTCCTAATATTTTTCTTAGAATGAACATTTTTTGATGCTTTTGTTCAATGAGTAAAACAAGGTCAATATTTTTTTTGTATTTACCTGATATTAGAATCACTTTTTTTTTCCACACATAATTTAAAAATTTAGACATTGACGTTTTTAACTAAAAAACTAAATATTGTAGAGATGCCCTATTTTTTTCTCATGACTTTTGTTTTAAAAAATGATACAAGAAAACTGTTAGGGTTTTAAAACCTTTGTATTGTTTATCCCTTCCTTCCCAGGGGGAAAGGGGGAGTTATGCTACTATCAGCAACATCCCGTGGCTGCAGGTACCAGTCCCCCCTCCCCCTTGTTTAAAAAACAAAACACCTGCACCCAACCCTTTTGATCCCACACCACAGACACACAGACACACATACACCCCCCCAAAATGCTTTGAATGTCTGTTGAACTGTGTTTGTGAAACCACATATATAAATAAAGAGAGATGGTGCCAACACTTTGTAGTTGCACTGCAGAGTGGGTCCCATCTTGCTACAGATTAACAAAGACTCATGTGTCGTTCCTTCTGAGCTGACTATTTGATATTTAATACCTAACAAAAAACAAACTGTACATCACCTTGAAAAAACTTTCCCCATGGTGCCACATTGTGTTGGCAGCAGCATGCTGGGGAAATGCTTTTCCCTCACGGGGGTCAGGGAAGCTGGTCAGAACTGAGGGGGAGGATGGATTGGACCTAATAAGGGTCATCATGGAAGAAAACTGCTAGAGGCTAAACAACATTAAGAGTTCAGACTGGGTCAAGGGTTCATCTGCCAGTTCCATAACAGATTAAAACCCCCAGGCAGAGCCAAAGGGGAATGGTTCAGAGGAAAATGATCTTCTGCCGAGTTTGAGCAATCCTTTTTTCTTCTTCTGGACGATTATTCTTTCTTTGTGTTGGAGTATCAATTAAAAAACCAAACATTTAAAAAGCACTCATGTGGCTTGTTTTGTCCTGCTTTTGGCACTGCAGGTTCAGGGACCCCATGGGGTGATCACAGGGATGGCCTTGATGTTGGCCGTTTTTCTGGTTTCAGTTTGGGTCGGGGAAGTACAACCTGCAGTCAGCCTCAAAACAAAACCCCCTTTGGCATTTTTTTTCACAGTCATTTTTGGTCATTCACTTTTGGACTCATTTTATTAACATCTGGACATTTGGCAGCAACCTCTGTATCACCCCGGGGTAAGGATAGTGGTCTTTATCTCAGTAAGCTAAGTATTCATGGTTGATAGAAAACTAAATTTTCAAAGGGTGAATACCTAAATTTTTTGGCGGGTTTTTTTTAAATTCATTTTGATGTTAAAAATCTGTTATTTTTAAATTTTTATTGGGGAAATTATTTAGATTTACACTTGATTATAGCAGGATCCAATTAATTCTAAATAATTTATTGAGTTAGTTTTTTCCCAAATTGCCAAAATAGCATTTACTTTTCCCTCTGCATTGCAGTGATGATTCCACATGGTTCCTTTTGCCTCCGCAACATGAACGAGGGGGAAATGCACGAAAGAAGCTGAAAGACTGAAGGGGGTCACCTATGGGTATTTTACTCATGGCTCGGGAAAAAATGATAAGGAAAACTAAAGGAGACAGGATGATTGAAAAAGCACTTCCTGACAAAAAATCATAACCTTGTCCTCCAGATGAAACAAAATGCGGTCTCTCTGTCTTTTAAACTTCTTAAAGTTTCTCTTTGTAACTGTAACTGACAAATTGTATCTCTATCTATGAATCTTACGTCACTTTTCCCCTGCTGTCATGAGGGCATCTCGGTCCTGAACTAGTTGTATTATGTCCCCAACCAGCCACAGGCATTTTTTTTTAAATGGAGATGTGCTATGTCGAAAACCTTTGTAGAATTTTTTAACCTAACTACTTTTAAAATTTTCCACAACAATATGATACTTTTTTTTCACTAATGTTCTCTAAAAAACCTCTGAGGCCTTCACAGAAAAGCTGGGTTTATACTGAGATTAAAAAAACATATAGTCTGGACACATTTTGGTGACCACAAGAAGTGGCTTCTGGAGGCAGTTTGGTGAAACTAGATTTTTGATGGGTATGAGAGCAAAGGGGGTTTAAGAACATACACACCACACTTTTAAGATTTATTTGTCAAAAGTAAAAAAAAGTGAAAACCAGTTTCCCTTTTTTAATAAATTCACAAATACACAGTTTTGTTGCTTTACTACATAAAATCTTCAGCAGTTTTAAAGATGGCACCAGGGAAAAAACTGGTATGTTTCGATGTCCCTTCACTGTTTACCTGTATACCCAGACCGGACCCACAAGGTGTAAAGTAAGTAAAAGGGACCATGTACGGAGGCCTTAGTCCCGACACAGGCTGTCGCAGGTTCAAATTGCGGCCCTTGATGTTTACTGGATGTCTTCCAAAACCATTCTCCACCCAATTTCCGTCAGCTCACTTTAACTAAAAAAAAATAAAGGCCACTAGCTCCTTAAAATAGAAAACAACTTAATCAAATGTGAACCTCAACAAAGGACCAGTTTTTACCCCAGAATAAATCTGCATGCTGCTGAGCGTTGCCTGTCTGCCCTTTTTTTAAGTATATTTTAAGTTTTTTCAGACAGAAGCATTGCTGTGCCATGGGATCTTCAGTGTCACAGGTATGGCCAATCTCTACAGTGACAAAGTTTAAGAGACCTATGAACCCCATCGAGCCATTGGGTTTTGATGGGTGATACCGGGGCAAAATCCAAGCAAAGGACGTAGAAACGTTCTAACTCTGTAGACAACATCATATTCCCAAGAGACGACAAAAAATAACAAGCTGCCTTTTTTTGGATCATTTCTGCACAGGAAAGAGATGTAAGCCTCAACATTGAGACTTAAATTCAAAATGGCATACAGACAGAAAAAAACTAATTTGGTGTCATATTTAGGTCAAATAATGACATGCAAGGCTGTGAGTCAGTCAGTATTTTTCTATGCTTTTTTTCCTAGTGGGTCGCAGGTAGCTGGTGCCTGTCTCCAGCAGTCTATGGGTGAGAGGCAGGGTAAAACCCTGGACAGGTTCCCAGTCCATCGCAGGGCAACACACAAAAAAACCCAAACCCACATACTCATTCATACACTTAAAGGGAAATTTTTAGAGTGCCAAATTAAAACCTAACAGGTGTGTCTTTTGGACTGTGGGAGGAAGCCAGAGTGCCCCGGTGAAACCCCCAACATGCACGGGGAGAACATGCAAACTCTGTGCTGGGAATCGAACCCAGGAGCTTCTTGCTGCAAGGGCAACAGTGCTACCAACTGCGCCCCCTTGCAAGGCTGCTCTTAAAAAAACCCAATTGATAGTATGCAAAAACCTTTTTACACTTTTTTTTCGCAGCAGCAAGCAACATGTTATGGCACCTCTAAAGAAAAGGTCACCAGAAATATTTATAGACAACAATCTGGAAACCATGTGCATGATTGTGGCTAGTTTTACTAATCCTGCATTTTCCTTTTTGGTGCAGCATCTCCTGGTGGAGTGTGTTGGACCATGGCAATAAGGGGTTTTTGGAAATAAAATGCCAATTTTTAAACCCCGGGGGATTAAAGAAAAATGCAGTGACAGTCACTCATTCCTGGACTTTTAAACCTACATACGGTGGCCGGGGGGCAAACCAACATTAAAAAAATCTAAAACACTTTTAAAAAACCTAAAGACAAATTTTTTTTCAGACAACAATTTAACAAGATGCAAAACAATTTTAAAAGTACCTGAAAAAATTTACATTTTCAAAAAAACAATTTTTAACTTTCAGAAAACAATTTAACAAGATGCAAAAAACTTTCACAAGTACTGAAAAAAAATTCCATTTCAGAAAACTATTTTAACAAGATGCAAAAGACTTTTATAAGTACCGAAAAAAATTTCTTTTTCAAAAAAACAAATTTAATTTCAGAAAAAAAAAAACCCAAAAATTAATAAAAAAAATTTCAGAAAAAAATTTTAACAAGATGCAAAACACTTTTACAAGTACTGAAAAAAATTTTACATTTTGACAAAAATCAACCTGAAAGGGAATGTACCAACGCCGAGGCTGACCCCTAATTCAGCCTCAGGGCCTGCATCCTTCGAAGGACCCGGGCCCTTTTCCCGTCTACGTGGGCTGGGTCCTTCGTCGACCGCTCAAAAAACCCGCGCCATAGAAAAGAGAGGGGTCCTTCTGTGGCGCTGGCTAAAACCACGGAGGCCGGAAGTAAGGCAGCTGCGGATTGGGACAGTCTAGCCTTTTCCCGGGTTGTTTTCCCCCCCTCACCCCGCGTAACAGCTGTCGCTTAGCAACAATTGTTGCGAGGAAAAAAAGCAGTTAAAACCCGAATGGAGCCGAACTTCTGTTATTTTTATTTTTTAAATTTTTGAGGAACTTCAGCAGTTTTTTCATCGTCGCAGACATCTCCTTTATCTCCCCGGCTGAGAGACAATCATGTTCAGGTAAAAAAAAGGTTTGATTTAAAATTTAAAGCTTCTAGCCAATAAAAAAATTAGATAGCAACTTTTGGCTAATGTTGGTCGACATATTATATACAGTACAGACCAAAAGTTTTGGGGACACAACCTTCTCATTCAAAAAGTTGTCCTTATTTTTATGACTATGAAATTTTTTTTTGTAGCTTTACACTGAAGGCATAAAAACTATGAATTAAAACATTGGGGATTATATACCGAACCAAAAATGTGAAAAAACTGAAAATATGTCTTATATTCTAGGTTCTTTAAAGTAGCCACCTTTTGCTTTGATTACTGCTACGCACACTCTTGGCATTCTGTTGATGAGCTTCAAGAGGTAGTCACCTGAAATGGTTTTTACTTCACAGGTGTGCCCTGTCAGGTTTAATATGTGGGATTTCAAGCCTTATAAATGGAGTTGGGACCATCAGTTGTGTTGTGCAGGAGGTGGATACAGTACACAGCTGATAGTCATATTGAATAGACTGTTAGAAATTTTATTATGGCAAGAAAAAAGCAGCTAAGTAAAGAAAAACGAGTGGCCATCATTACTTTAAGAAATAAGTATATAATTCCACATGTGTTAATTCATAGTTTTTATGCCTTCAGTGTGAAGCTACAATATTCATAGTCATGAAAATAAGGACAACTCTTTGAATGAGAAGGTGTGTCCAAACTTTTGGTCTGTACTGTATATAATATGTCGACATACATTAGCCATAAAGTTGCTATCTATTTGTTTATTGGCTAGAAGCTTTAAGTTAAATCAAACCTCTTTTTTACCTGAACATGATTGTCTCTCAGCCGGAGATAAAGGAGATGTCTGCGACGATGATAAAACTGCTGAAGTTCCTCAAAAATTAAAAATAAAACTACCAGAAGTTCGGCTCCATTCTGCTTTAACTGCTTTTTTCTCCTCGCAACAATTGTTGCTAAGCGACAGCTGTTACGCTGAGGTGAGGGCGGGAACACCTGGAAAAGGCTAGACTGTCCCAATCCGCAGCTGCTTACTTCCGGCCTCCGTGGTTTTAGCCAGCGCCACAGAAGGACCCTTTCTCTTTCTATGGCGCTGGTTTTAGCGGTCGACGAAGGACCCAGCCCACGTAGACTGGGACAGGGCCCGGGTCCTTCGAAGGATGCAGGCCCTGAGGCTGACTTAGGGGTCAGCCTCGGCGTTGGTACATTCCCTTTCAGGTTGATTTTGTCAAATGTAAATTTGTTTCAGTACTTGTAAAAGTGTTTTGCATCTTGTTAAATTGTTTTCTGAAATATTAATTTGTTTTCTGAAATGTAAATTTGTTTTCTGAAATGTAAATTTGTTTCGGTACTTATAAAAGTCTTTTGCATCTTGTTAAATAGTTTTCTGAAATGTGAATTTGTTTCAGTACTTGTGAAAGTTTTTTGCATCTTGTTAAATTGTTTTCTGAAATGTAAATTTGTTTTCTGAAATGTAAATTTGTTACGGTACTTTTAAAATTGTTTCGCATCTTGTTAAATTGTTGTCTGAAATATAAATTTGTCTTTAGGTTTGTAAAAGTGTTTTAGATTTTGTAATGTTGGTTTGCACCCCCCGGCCACCGTATGTAGGTGATAAAGTCCAGTAATGAGTGACTGTCACTGCATTTACTTTCATATCCCTGGTTGAAAAATTGGCATTTTATTTCCAAAACTCCATTATTGCCATGGTCACACACTCCACCAGGAGATGCTGCACCAAAAGGAAATGCAGGATTAGTAACTAGTCCACAATCATGCACATGGTTTCCAGATTGTTGTCTATAAATATTTCTGGTGACCTTTTCTTTAGAGGTGCCATAACATGTTGCTGCTGCTGCGAAATGTAGGTTTTGCATACTATCAATATGTTTTTGTTAAGAGCAGCCTTGCATGGTGGCGCAGTTGGTAGCACTGTTGCCTTGCAGCAAGAAGCTCCTGGGTTCGATTCCCAGCACAGAGTTTGCATGTTCTCCCCGTGCATGTGTGGGTTCTCACCGGGCACTCTGGCTTCCTCCCACAGTCCAAAGACACACCTGTTAGGTTAATTGGTCACTCTAAATTGCCCTTAAGTGTATGAATGAGTATGTGCCTGGTTGTTTGTGTGTTGCCCTGCGATGGACTGGCAACCTGTCCAGGGTTTACCCTGCCTCTCACCCATAGACTGCTGGAGACAGGCACCAGCTACCTGCGACCCACTATGGAATAAGCAGTAGAAAAATGACTGACTGACTCACAGCCTTGCATGTCATTATTTGACCTAAATATGACACCATAATTAGTTTTTTTCTGTCTGTATGCCATTTTGAATTTAAGTCTCAATGTTGAGGCTTACATCTCTTTCCATGTGCACGAAATGATCCAAAAAAGGCAGCTTGTTATTGTTGTCGTCTCTTGGGAATATGATGTTGTCTACAGAGTTAGAACGTTTCTACGTCCTTTGCTTGGATTTTGACCCAGGTATCATCCACATACTGAAACCAATGGCTCGATGGTGTTCATAGGTCTCTTAAACTTTGTCACTGTAGAGATTGGCCACTACCTGTGACACTGAAGATCCCATGGCACAGCAATGCTTCTGTCTGTAAAACTGTCAGTATACTTAAAATAAGTGGCAGACAGGCAACGGCTCAGCAGCATGCAGATTTATTCTGGGGTGAAACTGGTCCTGTTGTTGAGGTTCACATTTGATTAAGTTGTTTTCTATTTTAAGGAGCTAGTGGCCTTTATTTTTCTTAGTTGAAAGTGAGCTGACAGGAAATTGGGTGGAGAGATGGTTGGAAGACATCCAGTAAACATCAACGGGCCGCAATTTGAACCTGCGACAGCCTGTGTCGAGGACTAAGGCCTCCGTACATGGGTACGCTTTACTTACTTTACACCTTGTGGGTCCGGTCTGGGTATACAGGTAAACAGTGAAGGGACATCGAAACATACCAGTGTTTCTCCTGGTGCCATCTTTAAAACTGCTGAAGATTTTATGTAGTAAAGCAACACAAACTGTGTATTTGTGAAGTTGATGAAAAATGAGACATGGTTTTCACATTTTTTTACTTTGACAAATAAAATCTTAAAAGTGTGGTGTGTATGTTCTTAAGCCCCTTTGCTCTCATACCCATCAAAAATCTAGTTCAACCAACTGCCTCCAGAAGCCACTAGCTTGTGGTCACCACAAACTGTGTCCAGACTATATGTTATTTAATCTCAGTATAAACCCAGCTTTTCTGTGAAGGCCTCAGAGGTTTGTTAGAGAACATTAGTGAACAAAAAGTATCATATTGTTGTGGAGAAGTTTAAAATGTAGTTAGGTTATAAAATCATATCTAAGGTTTCAGACATAGCACATCTCCATTTAAAAAAAAATGCCTGTGGCTGTGTTGCACATAATACAACTAGTTCAGGACCGAGATGCCCTCATGACAGCAGGGGAAAAGTGACGTAAGATTCATAGATAGAGATACAATTTGTCAGTTACAGTTACAAAAGAGAAACTTTAAGAAGTTTAAAAGACAGAGAGACCGCATTTTTGTTTCATCTGGAGGACAAGGTTATGATTTTTGTCAGGAAGTGCTTTTTCAATCATCCTGTCTCCTTTAGTTTTTCCTTATCATATTTTTTCCCCGAGCCATGAGTAAAATACCCATAGGTGACCCCTTCAGTCTTTCAGCTTCTTTCGTGCATTCCACCTCGTTCATGTTGCGGAGGCAAAAGGAACCATGTGGAATCATCACTGCAATGCAGAGGGAAAAGTAAATGCTAATATTTGCAATTTGGCAAAAACTAACTCAATAAATTATTTAGAATTAATTGGATCCTGCTATAATCAAGTGTAAATCTAAATAATATTTCACAATAATAATTAAATACACAGATTATTACACATCTAAATGACATTATAAATAAACCAGCCAAACATATTGAGGTATTCACCCTTTGATAATTAGATTCTATCAACATGTACTTAGCTTACTGAGATAGAGGCGCACTATCAACTTACCAGCCAGTGATACAGAGGTTGCTGACACAAATGTCCAGATGTTAATCAACATATGAGTCACTAAGTGAATGACAACAATGACTGTGATAAAAAATGCCAAGGGGTTTCGTCTCTTGAGGCTGACTGCAGGTTGTACTTCTCCGACCCAAACTGAAACCAGATAAACGGCCAACATCAAGGCCATCCCTGTGATCACCCCCATGGGGTCCCTGAACCTGCAGTGCCAAAGCAGGACAAAACAAGCCACATGAGTGCATTTTGAAAATGTTTGTGTTTTATTAATTGATACTCCAACACAAAGTAATGAATAATCGTCCAGAAGAAGAAAAAGGATTGCTCAAACTCAGGCAGAATGATCATTTCCTCTGAACCATTCCATTGTGGCTCTGCCTGTGTGTTTACATCTGTTATGGAACTGGCAGATGAACCTCTGACCCAGTCTGAACTCTTAATGTTGTTTAGCCTCTAGCAGGTTTTCTTCCATGATGACCCTGTATTAGGTCAATCCATCCTCCCATCAGTTCTGACCAGCTTCCCTGACCCTGCTGAGGAAAAGCATTCCCACAGCATGCTGCTGCCAACACAATGTGTCACCATGGGAATGATGTTTTCAAGGTGATGTACAGTTTGTTTTTGTTAGGTATTAAGTATCAAATAGTCAAGCTCAGAAGGAACGACACATGAGTCTTTGTTAATCTTGTAGCAAGATGGTAGCCCACTCTGCAGTGCAACTACAAAGTGTTGGCACCATCTCTCTTTATTTATATATGTGGTTCACATACACAGTTCAACAGACATTCAAAGCATTTAGGGGGTGTATGTGTGTCTGTGTGTCTGTGTGTGTGGGATCAGAAGGGTTAGGGTGCAGGTGTTTTGCTTTTAAACAGACGGGGAGTGGGGACTGGTACTAGCAGCCACCGGATGTTGCTGATAGTAGCATAACTCACTTCTCTCCCTGGGAAGGAAGAGTGATAAACAATACAAAGGTTTTCAAACCCTAACAGTTTTCTTGTATCATATTTACTAAATACAGTCATGAGAAAAAAATAGGGCATCTCTACAATATTTAGTTTTTTAGTTCACACGTCAATGTCTAAATTCTTTAATTATGTGTGGAAAATAAAGTGATCTAATATCAGGTAAATACAAAATAAATATTGACCTTGTTTTACTCATTGAACAAAATGCATCAATAAATGTTCATTCTAAGAAAAATATTAGGACACCCTACCCCTCATAGCTACAGTTACAGCATTTTGATTGAAGTAACTTCAGTGAGAAGCTTCTTGCAGCCATCTACGAGTCTCTGACATCAATCCAGAGAAGATTCTTCCCACTCCTCACTTTCAGGTGAGAAATGTTTGAGAGGTTTCTTGCATGTACATCCTGTTTCTGGTCAGGTCCTGCTATCCCCATGACACTTCAACCTCCATGTTTCACAGTTGATAAGAGGTATTTGTTTGGTTCATGCCAATAGAGTTCTTTTTTTTTCTGGTGTCCAAATAATTTAATATCAGACTCATTTGTACAAAGATGTCGTTGTAGAAGTCCTGTTCATTGTTTATGTTCTCTCATGCAAACTTTAGTCTGGCCTTTATATGGAGCAAATATTTAATCCTTGCATGCCATGAGAATGGCCGCATGCTTGTTCAGTATGAGGGATGGCTGCAAAGATAACGACACTATTTAATCGGCTGTCCACTGTCGCTAGGTGCTCGCTCAGTAGGAGTGATTGCTGCAAAGTCAGTGACTGAATGCAATCGGGGTCAGTTTCCTTAAGTAAACTAGTTTTTTGTTTACTTGTAAAAATGTAATTTTTGTCATTACATATAGAAATAATTATTTACTTATTACACTGTGGCACTTTATACGTTTTATGATTTCATATAATTTTTTTGGATAGTTCTTGTTTGCCATTGAAAAAAACCAAAAATGAACTTTAAAATGTTGTTAAAGAAAATTTGTAGAAAAACTGGTACAGCAGCACAAAGCTGTAAGGAGGATCTCAAAAGAGACAGACCCCAGCAAGGTGAGGGTGGAGAAACCAGCCACTGTAGACGCAGCTGCAAAGACCGGTTAGAGAGGAGTGCTGTGGTACTGTAATCTTCAAACTAATTTTAGCCCTTTTAAATGCCATGTGTTAACGCTTTTTTTAAATTCTTTTAGTTTTGTTCCACTGATGTTGGATGAATGACCATTAGGTTCCAAAACCACTTCAATTAATATACTTTTTTAACAACTAGCAACATGTCAGCTGGACTTAAATACGGAATAAACCGTTTTTAAGCAACCAATAACGGAAAACGTCATTGCAAATTTAAATTTTAGGTACAACTGAGTGAAATTCTAAACTCCTGTACACAGACATCTCATTAACATACATCTGTGCAGAACATAATTTTTTTCAGTGTACACCACATTTTGCCAGCTAATTAACACATTTGTTCCGCTGGACCTAAAGAACTGAATATTATGCTGAAGACGTTATTTAACTATTTAAACTTTTAACACTTTTATCTTCGTTTGTTTTTTCTGTTTTTGTTTTTATGTTCAGCCCGTATTCCTGACATCTGCTGTCAGTCGCAAACAGAATACATTTTTTTTAAACAGCAAACCAGCAGAACGAGTATATAATCTTGACTGCAGATGAATCTTTTTGAGTCAAACGGCCAATCATCTTCCAAGTATAAACAGAACGCACAATAAGGTCGATTTCAGAGGAAGTAGAGCTCTAAAAAGCTGGCGGTAGAGATTAGCTGACCCCAATCCCTGAAACCAAACTTTGTATAAAAACTTGCAACATTTGCTCATTTTAAAAACCGTTTTAGCCATCTGAAAGCCATGTTTAACACTTATATTTCTTCTTTACAATTCTCTAAAATTACGGTTTTGTTCACAGTGTATTCTTGTTATCTGGAGTCCATTTCAGATGGTATCAAATGAAGCAGCATCAAAGAAAGAA